ATATTTGAGAAATTTTCATGAATTCAAAAAGAGTTCGTGAACTCGAGAAATGTTCGCGAATGCAATAAGATGTCAATAATTCAGAAAAGGTTCAACAAAAATTGAAAAAGCTTTACGAATGTTGTCCTTTGAAAAAGTTTGTGACAATAAATAAGTTAATGGTTTTTGAAAAAAATAAGTTGAAATAATTCATCAATTTTTTAAAAGGTTCACTTATTTTGGAAAAAAAATCATAAATAAGAAAGTTTGTCGGTTTGAAAACATTCATTTATTTGAAAATGTGTTGACAGATTCAAAAAAAGTTCATAGATTTGATAAGGTTTGCGGGTTTTGAAAAAAGATTGACGAATTTGAAAATATTCATGAATTTTTAAAAACTTCAAGAAATTTAAAAAGTTTTATGATTTTGATAAGGGTTTTTGAACTTGGAAAAAGTCACACATTTGGAAAAAAGGAAAAAAAATGCGAACAAAACCGTTTAAAAGAGTAGACAAAAGTTTCCAAAAACTTCCCAAATCTTGGGCTAGAAGCTTCTCGGAGTTTCCCAAAACTAGGAAGGGGACGCTTCCCATTGGTGGCATATGCGGGCTAGCCCATAAAGTATCCAACGATAGACGCGCGGGGGGGGGGGGTGTTTTTACCAAATTGCCTTTAAACGGTGTGTAAAGCGCTAAACAGGAGTTGGCGTAAACAACGGGATAAACGCCAAATAGGAAACAAACTGAGTCGATCGATCGATGGATCGTACAAGGTACATCGAGGAGGAGGCAACATAGGGATAGATCCATCAAGGAAAAGGCTACTCGCTTGCTACTTGAGAAAGCTTCAAATCTGGGCCTAGGTGACCCTTGAGAGGCAGAAGATTGGACCTCACATCCCTTCCAGATGCACCATTGTTGGCTAAACCTGATGTCCAGACAATAGGCGGTAATTGTTAATATTTCTTATTTGGGCGTGTATTTCTATACATCAGGGTAGACCAATTGGGCTCCAGCCCTGGGGCACAATTCACTTTAACCAATGTATGTGCACTCTCCCCTAGCACTAGAAGTGAGCATTCCTAAATGAACTAAAAAACATTGCGCATCTCCTATCAATATATTGGCTCTGCGACACACACGAAAAAAGAAACGACAATTTCATATACACTAATTGAACGGTTGAATTTCCCTTCATAGATAGACGTTTCACATGGTCCAATAACAGACAACGGCCCACCCTAGAAAGGCTAGATCGTGTCTTCTTTAATCTAGCATGGGATGTGTTATTTCCTAACTCTTGTATAATCTCCCTAACGTGTTTCACGTTTGATCAGTTGCAACAACAATTCCAGCCTCCCGCCTTTTTAGATTAAATTTTCTGGACCTTATTCTAGGCCTGCTATCCAATTGTCTCTAACATGTAAGAACATCATGCAAAGCAATGATCTGCTCGCCAGCTCAACCCAAGCCTAGAGGGGGCGCTAACTAACAAAACAAGAAGTGCACTAAAGGCCTGGGCCAAAACTCTAAAGACCATTCAATAGCGGGAGATAGACAACAAAATTTCTTTCCAACTGCTTGACCTTTTAGAAGAATTTTTGAAGTTTACAACCTCCTTGTATCTACCCTTCAATGCACCATCAGGCAAAAAACGCCTTATGATGGCAACTAGGTCGGATCTTGGTCTGGCCCCTCCCGGCTGTCGGGACCGAGACCTCATGTTCAAAAAGTTTACAAGTGTTTTCCAGGGAGACCGACCTGCGAGGCCAACTACATAGGAAAAATTACCATGGAAGCAGGCTATCTATGGGCATGTACAATGGTTGATAAGATAATCTTATCTTAAATTTTGCATGTAATTTAGATATGACAAAAAAACGTGTCTACAATGGGTCATCTCTTAGCCTTATCTTCAATAACTAGCTATTTCTAAAAACATGGTGTGACATATTGTGCTAAGAGATCATCTCTTTTCTTCTCTTAAATAAGAGAAGACAAGTCTTTTCTTATAATTTCTCTCTCCTCCACCTCATCATTTATCCTACTTGACATTCCTAAAATAGAACCATTGTACATGCCCTATGTGAACAAACCAATACCAGGCACGACTACCATTCAGATAGGGCTCCCGTCACATGAAATATTCTAAATAGTTTTGTTTCAGAAATTAATTTACTCAAAAGTTTAAAAGTGTTCATCATACATGCAAAATTTAAAATTGTTGATAGCATTAAGAAAAATGTCCGTGACATTTGAAAAACATTTATGTGTTTCAAAAAAATGTTCTTGTCATTTAATAAAATGTTTTTTAATTTATATCATTAAAAAATATTTCAGCACATTTTCTCAAAATAGTTTATGTAATTGATTTTTTTGGTTTCATACCATTGAAAAATACGTTCGTGACACTTTTAAAAAAAAATTACGCATTTCAAGAATATGTTCATGACATTTTAGAAAAATGTTTATACAATGTAGAATGATGTTCAAGTTGTTTGTAACATGTTTATACAATGTAGAAAACACATGAAAGGTTCTAAACCATTCGAAAGAATCTTCCCAAAACCGTCTTAATGGGCTGGCCCACTAAAGCCACCGTGCAACCAGTGCCAGAGGCAAGGCGAGGCGAAGCTACACCTCGCAATATGGGAGACACAGCTCCGGTGTAGAAAATAAGCACCGATGAGATGCGAGCTACCAAAGGAACCGCAGAACTTTGTCCCGATCGCGGCGTTTCAGCCTGTACAGACTTCACAGGGCGACGCGTGGAGGAAGGCCGAAAACAAGCCGAGCAACCAAACACCCCCTGCAATTTTACCCTCTTTAGCATCTCTGATGACTTCGTAAGAATTCGCTACCTACAGACAAAAAAAATGAATCTTATCTGCACTAAATATGGAACAATGAAAATTGGAATGGCCTGGTTCCGAACAGGGGAAAAAGCAGATAAATTTGGAAAAGCAATAGGAAGACAGTTCCGAATACAAATCGCACATAGGTCCTTTATAGGCTGCGCGCACCCGGCGCCGCCAACACGCAATCGCCTCTGCCACTCTAATAATTTCTTCTATTTATACAGCGCAATAGGAAAAGACTTCGTACTCCCCGGCCCCCCCAAACCCCCGCGCCTAGCCGGAGCAGCCCCGCCGCCGCGGCCGCCGCTCCTCCCCTCTGCCGGCCGCTCAATACCCTCGATTCCATCGCGCCCCGCCGCGTATTCCTGATTCTCCGCCTCCCCCGGGCCCCGGGCTCTTCTGACGAGGAGGT